GGATGGCCTTTCCCTACACAGACAGTCGTTGTGATAAACTGTTCGCATTCCGTACGTGTTTACTGAACATTGGTTCGTCACATCCCGTTAAACCGGGACTTGTTTTATCCCACTGCATGGAACTATGTTGTGACTGATGCAAGGGCCCTGGTTATAAGGGTATTTTATTCTCTGTGCTGTGAAAAGTAGGGAACACAAACGATATTCAAATCCATATGACGTTCTCATTGTAACATTTCGTTTATATCTGTGTTTATGTGTATCTTTAGTTAGCTCTTTATCACAACAACGTGACTGGATAACATTTCAATGAGTCGCCACCACAAGATAAATCTTCTACGTACTTAAGACCTTGGCATTTGCATAAACGTAAACGACAAATAATAAACACAACAGCACTCCCATAATACACATCATTCTCCAGTGGCGGATGCAGATGGGTNTTTTTTGGGGGGCTTCAGGACATGTTGTTATTATTGTCAGTTAATGCGTTTAGTTTACATTTAAAATGNAATCATGTACTTTCACCATTTTCCTCAATTTTTCCGCCAATGCTCTCTTCTAATACCATACAAAACTCCCATATAATACTTCTCAGAACTCCCTCCTAACACCACACCATACTCCCGTTTTATGCTACCAAGCACTGTTCTAACACCACTCTAAACTCCAAAATAACACTACTCAGCGATCCCCAAAAATACTACACATAATTGTCAGCTAATCCTAAACATTAAGCAATCAAATCGATTTGATAAAACGATACCGTCTTTCTTGTACATAATACATCATTATTATTGCTCGCTGATATCGATTACGATCCGTACAATACGCTGTACCTAAAGTCACGCTACCATAATTGATACAAGGTCATAAAATGGGTCGAATAATACTTTAAAATTAAATTTGTCTATTTTCCTTTAATTTGTATAAGAATAGATATATCTGTCCGCATTTCCGCTATGTAAATAGTACAGGATGACTTCAAAGTAAACATGTCACAATACCAGACAAGTGACATAGGTCGACAACAGTTTTGAAGGGGCTAATTATATACATGTTTAAATGTTGATTTCTAGTTCACAGCGGTTTAGAAAGGTTTATCGTGGTTCCAGGACATACAATATCATCAGAACTCGACAGCGTTTTATCCAAATTTTATTTAGAGACCCGAAATAAAAACGATGATCATTATAAACAAGGCCACACTTACATCATTTCGCTATGGATTGAATCGTCATTTCAAAGACATGGGCATTATCAGCGACGTTCAATTAAAAAGATCTAAAGAAGCTTTTAAAACCATGACGACCGAGGTAACACGACAAAGTTTAGGCGGAGTAACCCATCCTCATCCCACCGAGTAAGCGGATTTATAGAAACTAGACTCTCATGAGTATTAACTTGAGTCACTCCAACAAAGGGTGTTTTTGACATTCTATTATACTTTGGCCACAGAGGAAAGGAAATCTGATTGACTGGGAAGTAATAGACTGTTCGTGTACAAATGAATTATTGAAATATTTTAAAATAAAATATCTCACCAATTTACTGATGTCATTGATTATTTTATATAATAAATCAGTTATGGACTTTGTGAATATGCTCTTGATATTGACAATAAAGAAATGTTGACCTCGGTTATCGCTTCGATCAATAATGTATTCGTTATTATCAGAGCAAGTCAATTATTGTACAGTGTTAATTCATGTTACCAATAACACATTTATGTACAATATTTAAAGAAGCAAATTCTTCAGTTAATAAATGATCAATTATTCGATTTCAACTGAGTTTGAAACATTTTCGGTAACTGACAATAGTCCTCTACAACATGTGTTTAAATATGACATCTGTTAATAATAACTAAGCATAGGTATAAAAGAATAAAATTGAGCTGGAATAATATACGAGAAAAGTAGCACGAGACATCGAAACAAAAGGAAAATGTAACCTCACACACGAAATGGAGTCAATAGCAGGTTCGCCGAAAACGTTCATGAACAATAAAAAACGAAGAAATGACCAACGCAGATACGAGTAACGTTTTATATTTCTTATATACACCAACTTAATATGCATTTGTTACAGTATACATGTATAAACGTCGGTGGTAATTTTGTAATATGCGATATGACGTCGCAGATAGCACGACGTTTTGCGCAGAAGAACATCGCAACTAGTATTGGCCATCCCCTTCACAATTTACACATTATTTACGTCCTATTTGCTCCTCTAAAATATTGATCGAACAGCAATGAGGGACACACCCGTCTCTGTGACGGAGTAATGGCGTCATGCCACCAGAACGTAAATAAGCGCTATCAAATTTGAAACTCAGTTTGTTTCAAATCGTTTATTTGATTAATGGATAAAACCTGACGAGTACAAAAGGAATTCTGGTTGCTATGGTAATACAACATTCTTGTAGAGTTAATGTTCAACACGAAAATGTGTTATGTGTGGCCTGTGCACTAGTTGTATTACAATAGATTAACCTGCAGGTATGTATAATACTAAATTTAACTATAGTCATTTTTTCTTTTACACTGCTGTTCAAGCGGTTTTTTCCCTACGTAATAAGAGTTTCGGGAGGTTAGAAAGAACATAGTCACGTGTTCCAAGGGTACAGCTTCAATCTTACCTTGATAAATGTTCAGTTGTCATCTCAGCCATTTTTACCGTGGTATTTTACTATCTGATATTATTACAGGCTACTGTTGATTAATCGCACAATTGTGCCTTGTTCGCGGAAAATTTGCATAAGCTCGTCCACATGTGTTGTTATCGACGTCGTGGATACTATCCCTAATTTACGGGGACAATGATTATCAAATGTCAGTATACCATGTAAATACAGTATAAATTAATGACATTCTCTTTATTTGAAGAGAAGTAAGTTTTCAATTGCAAATATATACCGTTCTATTGGATTTGAAAAGCAATAGATTAACAGGTGCATCATATGGTTAAGGAAGAGTTTTCTCCCAATAACCACTATACACATGTCTCTCCAATTTGTGTTACCGACATGTGGGTAACAGCCTGGATGTTACATGTATTCATAGCTAGTGTTTTGATTATAAGGTAACGGACAGTGCGTTGCGGCGGTGTCTTCAATTGTAACGTCATGACTAATGGCAATTGCTTCCCCGATCGGAAACAGGAAAATGTATTGTGTATTTCCAAGAAAAACATATGTCTTCCGAGATAGAATTATACTTAAAAGGAGTAGGCCCCGAAATTTATTTTGGCTCGTTATCAACTTTTATTCTATTTTTTTTATTAATCAATTTTCAAATTGTATGAAGACATGAAGGAAACCGAGATTGCAATTTCAAATTTATCCCTTTGGGGAATATTTATTTCCCAATGTAGCCTGAACATATCAAAGTACTTATATTTCCTGCTAAGTGTTCAGCATTTAGGGTATATCGCATCAGGTAGTGGTAGGACGCCGGCTCATGACCAAATGGTTGCGGGTTCGATTCACGGCACGGCACTGTGTTGTATCTTTACTTCGCTTGTTCCAGTCTACTCAGCTGTAAATGAGTACGTGGATATGCAGTTCTAGCACTGTTGAATGCTAGCTGTGAGCGTCGAAATGACAGCACCGGCTGTATGCTCCCCAGGGAGTTGTGAAAGATATTGGCGGGTGCGAAGGCCCTATACCCACGGATACTAGTTTGTGAACCGATTTGAGGCGAACTACGAACTAGGTTGTGATAAATCGGTATATAAGAACCTCGACTTATTATTTATTAATTATTATAAGATTCTGTACTCGGTGCTTGGCATGGTATTTCAGAGAGTTACCGCACTTTATAGTCAGCATGACATCCGCGCTATCGCAAGGGACAAATACAACAATATACATGTATCATACACACGTATAACTCACACATCTGAAGGCACGTCATTACATGACCTTAGCTGTTAATAGGACGGTTAACCTACTAAAACCTTAACCTTTAACCTCACCATTTGATGTGAATTGTTTTTCTTTGTTTTGTTTAGTATTCTTTTCATGATCAGATTATTTTATGTTTTTATATCGATTCTACGTTTCGATTTTGTTCCGGTGTGTTGGCGCAATATAATACTTTTTTTTCTGTTTGATTGAAAATCGTGGCAATTGTACTTCTTTACCGAATGTTCGACTCGACTCGCTTGGGATCGATAGTGTCGTGTGCGGTGTATTACCCTATGTTTATAGATGTACTTGTCATTGTAAACATGCTCCTCACAACCCTTCAGTTTACCCTCCTAGATTAAGTTAAGTAATCGATTAAAGATAATGTCTAAGGTTTTGAGCTTTTAGACGATTTTATCTGTGTTATTTGTTGATCGAGAACAAATTTTAGTAGAAACATTCAATAATGTCTAAGGTTTTGAACTTTTAGACGATTTTATCGGTGTTATTTGTTGATCGAGAACAAATTTTAGTAGAAACATTCACTTTTGTTTCAATTTCAACATTTCAAGATATTTTATAGATAAAATTTCATCACCGAAGATAACAAAACTTATCAGAAGCCTGTACGTTTTGACTGAAGTAGATATCGTGCTTTAGGCAATGGTCTCATTCTACTCGCTCCGTACAGAAATTATTTTTATTTTAGTGTAAGTTAAAGGGTCTCTGCGACCCTCATTAGTTGTATGTAGTGGCAAGTTCATTGTACTTTATGGCCTTGGGCGATAACAAAGAATTAGTTTAAAAGTTAAAGGGATAAAGCGATCCCCATTCATCACGTGTATAGTATTCTGATGGTCTGACAAAACCAGCTGATCTTAAAATATAATGTATTCAATTAAGCCCATTATATTCAGGTCAAAACTCAATGTGAAAGCAATTAGGATAATCAACGGTCGGTATGTTAAACACGCCTGTCTTCCCATACATGCACTAGCGTGCACACGAAACGTTTCTGAATCAGCTGGGATAGAAATATATACCTGTTTATCTTATACCGAGAGATTATCAACATCCAGATATATATATCGCCTTTCAAAAAATCTTTATCAATCTGAACCCTGGCATCACTCTGTGAACGTATTTCTGCGTTGTTTGACCATATCTTGTGAATAATCACGTGTACGCTGCACAGCTTGTGGAGAGTAACATCGAGACAGGCTACGGATCATTTTCCAAAACAACCTAATCGAACGGACGCGTACGTAGTACCGCTCGGCCAAACGTACAGAACGTATTATTGGGACTGTTCAGAAAGGAATCTACTACAACAACAAAGCATTTAAAGTATGTTATACAAAGATAAAATCAGCATGGGGTAGAAATAGACAGTGGACACCACCGAACCGTGAAATATGTTATGGCTTTTCACACCGATAGCCAGAATTAAAAGGGCTTACCAATTTGATAGCTCTTATATATAGAATCCAGATATAATATTGCATTATTCATGTGTTGTGGGAGCCGGGCTCAATCTGTGCTGTGTGAGCTCGTTAGTTCTACATTAGTCTCCGTGATACAGTTAACAAACACCTCTTCTTGACCGTGTGATGGTTAGTTGGTCTTTCTCTGAGCTCGAGGCAGCGTTGACCACAAACAACTAACGCTAGGAACGCCAAATGTGACGGCATTGTTCGGAAACTGAAGGAACGACAACATAGCCTTGAAGTAAAATCGTTCAAAGACGGACAGCGGATGATAAGAATAACTTCCTATTCAAGACAAGCAGACAAAGAAAGAACGTTGGACTATATCAGTCTGTATTGTACACACCACATTTGGAGATTGACCTGACAGCTTGATGTGGTATAAGCCGATAAGATCATATTGATTCTGTAATTACATATGCGACAACATTTTGTAGTGATACGTAAATTCAGAGATTTATCAGTGTTATTTCCCATTGAGATTAGTTGACTGGAATAGCTTGTGAAATTGTTGATAATCAGAATTCTTTACGTACATTTCCGTACCTGCTGCAAAGTTATGCATAAAGCTTGTTGGGTTCAATACGTACAAAGGAATGCCGAAAGTCTTTATGTAAAGTGCACGTGTGTGACCCTACTATATACGGTTTCGTTGACAGAAGAGTTCTAATGAGTATGTATGGTGGCACTGAGACAGAATCATAGCTTTACACGGTATGTTTTGTTCTAATACATGTACCTGCTAAACCAGACTATACCTTTAATAGACGACCACAGAGGACTGTGTTATACCTTTGAACAAAAGCACGTGCTATGCATGTGCATAATGAACAACTCAAACTTGTCGGTACATCACTGTCATGTTGTTAAACTCGATGTGCATCAAAACATGAAGGAGTTGTCCAATTCAAAGACAAAGTGATGATCCTATTTATATGGAAATTAAGTGTTCTTCCGTTAAGCCTCTACATCAAAGCACGTGCTATGCATGTGATACGAGCTGAATAAACAGGTTGTGAATATTGGAGAGAAACGGTCGTAAATCGTGTAAAAGGATTTACGGATTAGTGATTATTACATTCGACCTGCTACCATTTACCATCTCATTGCGAGTTAAAACCATCTAAGCTTCGTGATATGGTTTGGCGTAATGATTTTGAACATTCCGATGGTTCTCGCCATTGCTATATATTGGTGCCATTGGGAGCCCGTGAACCAGTGCTATTGATATAATTGCACATATAGCTATTACGTCATCAACAGGTAAGGTACGGTGCGTGTCAACCCCAAATTCCGTCTGCTCCATTTCGAAAATTGTCAAGTCAAATATACATACAGTGTAACTATGTAGCTGTCGATAGAGCTGCCACAGCAAGAGAGATATTCCGTTATCCTTGTTACAGTACAAAACTTTAACTTTTGCGACAGTGTTATGTCAGTTTACATGGATCTTTAATATAACCGTCATGGACGATCATTGTGGCTGGTGGAAGGTGTTAATAGACATTATTTGTGGGTGCAGTACTAACTACTGACCATGATGAAAGTGTGGATTTCGCGCTCATTATCCTTTCTACTGCTTCTGACAGGTAAGTAATGCAATCTAATTTCTAATATCTTTGTACGGTAAGAAATCGAACGATCATGCTTATACTGTTGCACCCTCACACTCAAAGAAATGGCCTTTCGATAAAAGTTACCGTGATGCTTGTTTTGACCCTATATCATTATGGCAATAGGTTATATTTACACTCTAGTTAAATAAACGTAATGTTGTATTTAGAACCTGTGGGAAACCGACCTCGTATTATTCTTTCAATTGCACTCAACTTTATTAAATGCATTAGATGTTGAAAAAATTATACTTGGGTCAGGGGTATCGAGCAGCTCCAAAAAACACAATATTTTTTACTATTTCAAAACAATCAATGGAGTTGCACTAAAGACAGTTTGGTCCATACACGACTTCATTACCCATAACACTTAATATATGTCTGCCGTGAATCAGAGTTTGTGCATGTAAAATGACCGACACACCTTGCATTCATCCATTATAAGAATTATAAGAAAGTGCATGTGCACTTTGTGCTGTATGCAGTGTTTATAAATACACACATAGTGTTTAAAAAAATTGTAAACAAAGGCTATTCATGTTATAACAAAATTTAAAAAGCGTATCAAATTATACTGATCGTTTGAAGTATACAATTTTATACTCTTTTAAACGTCTTGATCACGTGTGGTAAATAGTAAATCACAAAATAAAAGAACAAACAAACCATTGCCACCTGCTTAACTACACGATCAACAGTTAAGACATTCGTGTAATGTCCATCACTGTATTTGTTCTATAATACACTCCTCGTCGTATATTAAATATCAGTATAGAATAACAAAATTGAACTCTGACACGCTTCATCAACTATGTTTTAGCTTTGTTACTTGTAAGTACATGCTTGTATGTAATAAAAGTTGAAATGTTTTTACCAAACTCAGCAAACTGACTGCTTACCCAATTTTTATCTAAGGAACAGTCGGACTCAGCTGCATTTTCCTGCTTTCTTATCTCTAGAAATTTGGATCAGACATGCAGGAGGTCAGAAAATAACTAAAGACATGCCAGTGTCAACAAAATCATAATTCTAACTGGAAATAAAAATAAAACTACGACAAAATATGCACAAAGAGAACTATTATATGGAGACCTTCGTTAAAGTACAGGGATAATAAGACCAGGTGTTAGTGTCTCCTTCATCGACGTAAATCTAAGTCAAATCCGACGTAATGTCACGTCCTCACATTGAGAACACGGTTAGTGACAACAAAACCACAAGGCATCACAAACTCTTCTTTAGGTATCTCTCTTTTTCTTTTAATGGAAAACTAGGACCCTAAAGGCGGTCTATGAACAATTTTCCAGTGTTAAAAAAATGACTGAAGTCATTGGCCACAGTTTTATCGATGTTTACATCTGTACGACCTTCACGTGTTGATATCTCGTTATGATTTTATCTGTCATTCAATCACCTACCCATCCCTCTATTCACCAGCCATCTGTACACACAGGGTAACAGTACTATTTATAACCCACGTTAGTTTCGCTACAGGTCTGGGTAAATATTTACTCAGAGGTATCAAGCAGAGTCATGTCGATAAGCGAATGGTCAAACTCTCTATCACTTTTGTGTCCAAGAGGGCATGGTATAGGTTACAACTGTTCGGCTGTTCATATTTTGAAAACAAAAGTCTTTCATGAAATCTGTCGTCTTAGTACCTACATGTTGTGACTATCAAAACTTCCAAACAACCAACAAAACATAGCATCCATTTATCAATTACATACATATTTAATGTCTATTGTTTGAAAAAGAAATATACGGACTATTTATAAAACAAATTTGTCTGACTATGAAAAGTGAAACTGAAATATATTTCATAGCATCGCCGATAAACGTGCATATATAATTTCAGTTTAATTCATACAATAGTAAAACAAGAATGGATGCTAAACAAAAGAGCTTTAATGACCCCCCCCCCCCCCATCAGAGAGCCGGAAGCAGCGTCTGTTTGTATTCTATCTGACTAAACCTTCTGACAAACCTGGAGTAAGAACAAAGCAGCCTTTATGTATAATGGACAAATGTGTAGTGTGACAGACATTTCAGTTGCTCATTTTGTCATATCATGCATTTCAAACCTGGCCCCGAAGCAACTCATCATAAAAGCGAAGACATATGATTCCATCTTAATCAGCCCATAAGGTTCAACGCGCATGCCATATATATCATGTTCCAATATAGTTATATGTGTGTCTTACCGATGTAGAAGAAGTTGAACAATGAAACGAAATGAATTTACTAAAAATGCTTCCTTTAACATCAAACGTTCGGTATGAAGTTCTATATTTTCGTTTTATGACACAGATCAGGGCCCGTATTTCTAAAACCATTTTCATGCTGTAGCATGGATTCTGCGCTTAACCCAACTTTCTCGTGACCCTTTATAAACATATGACTCTGTCAAAATTTCGAATGTAAACGAACGGTATTCGGCTTTAAATCTTTCAAAAATTCTTGCAAAACATTAACAAAATATGATTTTTAATTAATTTATTAACAGAATAAGACATTAGGCCTAAGCACAGAATCTCAGTTTGAGCACGAAAACAGTTTGATGAATACGGGCCCATATCCTGATTATTACTGAAAACATGATACATCATTATACTTGCTGTTTCTATATAAATGGGGAAAAGCTAGAGGAGTGGCATATCCGTTGAGGTCATGACCTTTCTTTTTATAGATAGTTTTAATATGTTACGACAATCCCTGGTTGTTGTTAATTCGAAAGGATCATTTAAGGTTATTGTCATCACTATTGTAAAAAATTCTACTTGGAATGATGGCACACACACCAATGCATGGTCCCATACAAAACTCAAATATATATGAATAAAAGTTAATCAGAACACATTATATCTGCTTCGATTTCAATATGTTCCGATGTTACACGAATATTGGTTTCCATTTCGATTTTAGTTTCAAAGCTTTGCTGAAAAACAAATTAATTTGTTATTCTCTGGCACAGCGTATTGACATATTTCGTTCCGTCAAAACATATGGCCCATAGTTGATTAAAAAGAGCCCCAGTGTTCTCGTTCAATAGTAAAATTGGTCCCTACGGCCACATTCAGCTCTAAAATAACCTGATCAGATGTTGCAAAATAGTTGTTTAGAAAGCTTGTGGATTGAGTGTAATTTTATCACACGGCTTTTGTTTGATTAATGCCAAACAATGATTTCATAATAACCAATTTGTAATGCTTGTGTGCAAATATGAAGCATAAAATCGACCATTATTTTCCTCAAAATCAACAATTTGTGTTAAATTTGGGATGTCTGAGAGCACTTGTGGCTTGGTATAGGAGGAAGATACGCGTTCTGTTATTGTGTAACTTAGTTAATACACCATAATAACTAGGAAGAAACACGTTAGTTACAATAAGGACGAGACATATCACACGACATAACATTTTACTGGCCCTTCGGGACACATAGGTAGTTTCCAATTCTATTATATAATATCGTCTGGCACCTCAGGGTTACACACGAGTTAAACACTGTTGAAAACAATCGAAGTTAATTTAATAATCAGCAATTATGTTCTGGCGTAACCTTCAAAATTAGGTACTGTAGCTTTTGGCTCAATTGTTTCAATAACGATCACAAATTCGCACTGTTCAAGTCCCATTTTTTTCTATCTGCCGTTAAACGGGTCGTTGAATACAGCAGTATTTCGACAAATGTGGGTTAGATTCCATGTATGAACACATACAGGGACATCACAAGCTTTGTTTTTAATAGAATATATTTCTTGTATGTGTCGATTATATATACTTACCATTATTTATAGGGTTTGATGTTATATCTGAATATGTATACGAAGTTATGTAAACACTTGTAATGTTATATTTGTAATTTGTGTGTAATACATATGACTCACACAACTCATTTACTATAAGTTATTATCAAGCTTTTGAGCTAATAGCTTTAATATTTGAAGTTCAATACTAGTGATAACTGTCTAGAGTCATAGATAAAGGCTTTAAAGGGCTGTGAGGGTTTAATGGCATATAAGAGCTCTACCTGCGTCGCTTTTGACAACCGGAAGTTTAAAAGCCAAACCAGTGAAGTGGGATGGAAACACCCCATGACATGTGACCCCATATCAATCCGCCATCACATTTTGAAACCTACTTACGTTTTTCTAAAGTTAAATATCTGTATATTTTAATCAAACTACAAAAGATATCCACAAATTTTAGGTCGGGATTACAATCGTATGAATCAGTTCCTGATTAGCTGATTAAGTTGTGTGAGTCCTATATTACAGTATTATTTGCAAGTGTGCATGCACTAGGTGTATGCTTGTTCATTATGACCTTTGTCGTTATATAAGATAAGCTATTATTAACAAGCATTATGTAGGCCCTTCGTCCAATACCTCACTAGTACATGTACATTACTCTCTAAACAAATTTGTCTTTTATCAGAACAGATTATTTACAAAGATGGCTGTGTTCGTATTTATAGCTTTTGAGTTCCATATTCGATTGTACTGTACATTCAGAACACACGTAATCGATTGAGTTAAAATTCGTCAGGGAACTATTTCTTAGACTTTATTTATTTTATTGATAATGTCCCTTGAATTACCCAATTATTTACGCCTGACACATCAAACTTCTCCAGGAATAATCGCGTTAATACATCGTATACTACTATCTTCTAACTATGTGATCAAATAAGTTGCGTTGTGCACGCGTATGCAATAATGTTCTGTGCAATGCTGGTTTTATACTGTTTCTTAAATCAATATAGCTGTGTCATAAAAAGACTATAAAGACCAGACAATTGGATATCGCTATAATGAAGATAGCAATTTTAGTCTCCACAATCGTATCCCAAGCCATACACAAGATAGGATTATTTTTATTAATTATCAGAGAAACAAAAATTTTGGCCTGAGCATAAGATACGTGCTTGAGCATGCGAACGGTTTCGAAAATACGGCCCGTATTCATGAAATC